CCTCCATACTGCAGGACTTGGAAGAGGTAGTTCTGTGACTGAATCAGGTGTGTTGGAGCATGGAAAATGTAAAACATGTAGGGCTGCGGCCCTCGAGGACCATGATTGCCCACCCTTGCCTTAAACGGAACAATAATAGTAATAAAAGTTAATTAAAGGCCCAGCATTTTGTCAATTAATCACTAAGTTTAAGACTGAAATCATCTTAAGTTGAGAAATGACCAAGTTTTAGCTATTTTGGTCAAAATAACATTACGAACAATCTAAWACAATAATGCACTGCCTTGCACGATCTGTTAGCACTTGGAGTATCTATTGTGAATGATTTTATCACACAGAATCTATCAATTACCTCACAGAATTTTTATTCACATCTATAAAATTAAGTGAGTAGGGTGGCATTAAAAATAATTATCGAAACCTTTATTCCTGGCTGTCGTTTTGTCTCCCAGCTTTGCTGGAAACACTGAGATCGATGTGGACATCAAACGCTACTACTGCAAAGCTGGCATCAAGAGCATCCAGGTGAGGAAATTCCCTTTGATCTGATTTTTTTCACGTCTTGAGTAAAGCACTTTTATTTGCTTTTGGCAGTCGGTGTCAGAACAGAAGCTTGAAGCAGAGAATATAAATCAGCACCATGACTTTACACTTTATTCTGTTGACTCTAATTTGTGAGGCTTTTCTAAGACGAGATGAAAAGCCAGTATGCAGTGATAACTGAAGGATGAAAGTATTAGAACAACTGTTTATTTCAGTGAAACAATCTTTTTATAAAGTGACTTTATTAAATTTCATAGAACAAGTTCAGTTATGCAAACAAGTCCATTTCTTTATAACACTGGATAAAAGTATATATGGAGGAGCGATCCTTGAAGTGAATTCTGGTGAGACTGTAGTGGAAATATGAATAAAGCAGATGACAGGCTTGTGAAAACAAACAACCATGTAATGCATTTGTAAACAGCTCTTTTAGAGTTCACAAGCAGACATGGTGGCATTTATTCAGCCTGACGTCCTCTCTGTAATCTAATCCATTATCATTTTTGTCACCCGAATTATAAGCAGTTGGCCTWCTGAAGGACAGCAAAGGTTGAATTTTGATTTCAGCTTCTTTTTCAAGGCTACATATTTGTTTCATCTTCTCACTGTACTGTGATAAAACTTAAAATATGCGCCCGATTCAATCAAGGATGAAATATCKCTCTAGGATTACCTTGATTCCTTTATTCTTATAATTCTTTTTCATTTTTTTATTTACTTTAATTTACAACACCTCAAATGGTTTCAGACGTTAGAAACCACTTCAGTGCAACATGTCCAAAATAATGCGTACATCTCTATAGAATCACAGAAAAATGATAGGTAGAAGAAACATTAAGCCTTGTTTAGTTCAACATTCAGTTTTTGCATGCTGTTCTTATCCTTGATTGTATTTTATGGGCGTTTCTGTAGAGAAACATCACACCAGAGCTGCATTTCTCCTCAGAGTGTTGTTAGGGTTCCCTCAGGGGTTCATTTGTTGCTCTTTGTCCCCCATTACGTAACTCGGGCCTATCTGCAAAYAGAATGGCTCCAAGTCATTAAGAACCACGCAGACGCTAGTCCCTGTCTGTTTTTAACATGCATTAAGATGATAAACACTAGAAATAGAAATAAAACAAAAACAAAACATATTGGTAAAAATAATTCTGTGCAATAACCTGACACTGAAACTGACAGGTCAGAGCTTAACAATAATTGGAAAACTGATCAGGGCAACTATGATTAGAGTATCTTTACTGATTACATAATCACATATTTGTGCAAATTTTAAAAAGCTATTTTTTCCACACAAAATCTACTTATTCAAACCTTCAAGCTAACAGTGAGTGTCCTTTTATAAGCAAATATAATGAGAGARACAGGATTACTAATGAAATGTCACWACTTTGTGTTCAGTATTTGCTCTAAAATGTATGAAACCGGATCTGTGTGTGAATAATCCTGATGTCAGAGATCTTAAAGTATTWAACTTTCAGCAGCATCAAATTTACGAGCTAGAAAATGATAATGATGTCCACTTCTACCAGAACATTAGTACACTAGATAAAAAATGGTATTAATGATTTGCATTTTGTGTATAGAAAATGGTGCATAAAACCAGGATGTAGTTGAAATATATGTGTTTTTCTGTGTGTTTTTTTCTTTTGGGGAATCCATTATGAATTGTAAGGAGAGGCAAGACAACTACCTATTTGGTCATGTAGGGTTTTTGTTTGTTTTTGTGTGGGCAGTTCTTTAATGTGACCAAATAAATTCATTCATTCATTCATTCATTCATTCATTCATTCATTCATTCATT